CCCGGCGCGGACATGCCCGGAGCGGCGGCCGGGCAGGGTCGGGGAGGAGCGGAGCCAGGCGCGGGGCGGCCGCAGCATCCGCGGGTTGGGTCAGGGAGCTCCCGGAGCACAGCGGGCTGCTGCGCCTGGTGACCTAAAAGCTCTGCCACAGCTCTGACTAGGGCAGCTTTGCATCTTCTTCTGTCTTTTGAACTGGTGCAAATAATGCAGACGCCATTTGTTTTTATTAAACATTGACTACCTTTAGCAAATCTGAAGGTTTTGGAATAATTAAAGAAACTTCTAAGAAACTCTTGTTTCCGGGACTTCCCTGAGTGCTTCATTTAACAAATATGCAGTGCAGGAGTCTGCAAAATAGTGATGCTTACATTCCTGGTGAAGCTTCTTCCTTCATGTGTAGCAGCTGCTTTTAGTCCTTACCAAATCTTAATCTTGTCTTACATTGCCATAAGCTTGATTAAGACATTTGGGAGTATTTCACAGATTGTGTGGAATTATGTGCTCCAGGCATTTCTAATTCCAGGCATCCTCTGAAGGTAACAAGTGTCTAAGCACCCGGTACCTGCCTCTGAGAGGCATCTCTGCAAGAGTCAAGGCCCCTTGTTGGGGCTTTTCCAGTTCTCATCTTCCAGTTGAGTGGTCTAATTCCTGTGCTGTCATCCAGCACTAAGGCAGTCTCTGCTAATATTGGGGGCTTATTTTCTTTTAAAAAATGGGGTATTTTTAACTCATGTTTCTCTGTAGCAAAAGTAAATGAAGCCCCTACAAGAAATTAAACAGAAGGATGCTCTTAGTTTTCTACACAACCTGTCATAAACTGAGAGGGTTTGAGATGCTGGGGCCAGGTAGGTCTGGTCATGCATAGAAGAAGAGCTCTTGACATGTCCAAGAACCTTAAATGAAGACCCCTAAAAGACTTAGGTGTCTTCAGCTCTAGGAAGAAGCAGCTGATGCAAGGCATCCCGAATGATGCCATGTAAATCATGCTTTAGGTAGCTAATGTGTTGGTCAAGGTCTTAAGGCCCTAAATTTATAGGTTCTTTAGGTTAGCCAAGGGTTCATCTTCCTTTGCTTCTCTTTAACATTTTTAGTGATATATAAAAAAGCAATACATGTGTGGAGGAGGAGAGTCTCTACTGAAAGTACTCCAGAAAAAGACACTGATGTTTGTAGCTGAAATAACCATTTCATGGGGTTTTTTTGTTTGCTTTTTTGTTTGTTTTGTTTTTTGGGTTTTTTGTTTTGCTTTTTTTTAATTTCTGGGCTAATTAAATATTCAGTTCTCATAACTGCTGTGATTCTAATTCTTTTCAATCATAGTGTCCCCTAGGGCATGATAAAGGGTTTTCCAGAAGTTATGGGAAAAAAATGAACATATTGATCTGTGAGATGGCATTCATCTGAATGCCATCTTGTCTAATCCTTCTTTTTTGTTTGTCTCCTTAGACTATACATTTTAATAATGAAAACATACTTAACTGATTTTTAAATATCTACATCTTATATCTTTACCCACAGCTTTCAGGTCAGAAATGTACAGTAGACCTGGTCACCTAGATAAGGGAGTTCTTTCCCATCTCAAACCAAGAAACTGTTTTCACTGGATCCTTGCTGCAGTCTCAAGCTGTGGAAATGCTTTGCATGATTAATTTTAGAAATGCTACATTCCCATAATCTCCTTAAATTTAGAATCATGTAAGTTGAAAGTAGGGCTAACAGATGAGAAAAGTTTCTTGCTGCAGTGGTGCTAGATTTTAGGAATGTTTTTCTGTACACATGGATGTTATAACAAATAAGGTAAAATCCAAGCTGTAGAGTTGTTGGATTTCTGGATTCTTCAGTAGACACTACTTAATTCCTGAACATTTTTATAGCAGAAATGCCATTTTTCTTTTTAATATGGCATTTTTACTATCATTAAAGTGAAATATTTAATGCTTAAACTTATTGTTTTAAAAGAAAATATCCAAGAAAACACAATGTTAATGTCTAAGCAATGTCCTGTTGAATGTTTTCTATTACCATATTTTCTCAGTTTACTGTGACTTTTCAAACTTTTTTCTTTTTACCTCATTACGTATTTTTAAGATGAGGCAGTGGTGGAGGGGAAAGAGCAGGCAGCACATGCTGTGGGACAAGTGCTGCAGTCTGGTGGTAACACAGCTCTGCCAGCTCATTTCCCTGGCTGGCTCTGCATGTGATGCCATGTGATCTCAGAGCTGTCTAATTCCCTCATGATCATCACGTGTCTTTCTGCTCCCTTTGATCCACCAAAGCAATGAACTTTTCTGTGACTTTGTCTCTCAGTATTAGTGAGTACTTCTTCAGGTGCCACACTGAGGGAGCAAAACTCTGCCTCTGAACAGTCTTTAAGAATATTGAAATACCCTACTTGAAGTATCTCCCAAGACAACTTTCTCAAACAGATAACCAGAATTAACTACCTAGATAATTATAACATTGACACTAGAAGGAAAGCTGCTTTCTCCAGTGTTCTACACTTCTAGGAATTCCTTGTGGGTTCAGACATCTGATGCTGCTGACTGCCTTTTGAGGTGCCCTGGAATATCCTGTTGGGCCTTCAAGCTGGTGTTCTAGGATAACACAGGTCTTCTGCACATCCCAAGTCACATCAACCAACCCCCCATGAATGCCTGGGATTCCTTACAATATCCAGAACTGTGGAAAAGTGACTTCACCAATTCAGCTTTAAATGTCTATTAACAGCTCATGGTGCTCTAAGACTGTGGAACCTGATCAAATTGACCCCACAGAAGACACCCAGTGGCTGCTGCATCACACTCCTCGTGCTTCATTAACTGCATCTACCAGGGATGAGATTCAGCTGCCTCAGCTTCTGCCACCAGAGATGTCCCTGCACATCCTGCCTGCCTCCAGATTACACTGCAGAAAGGTTTGGGTTTTCCATGGATCTTGTGTCAGCCCCACCCGGGTGCCCTGGATACCGTATGGCATCTCAAATGTCACTAGACAACCTACACATAAGCAAGTAAAGCCTTAGCTTTCTGAAACGAGAGCTTAAACACCTAGCTTAATCCTACAGGTACTGATATTTAGGTGTTCTCATCTCCCAGGAATCTCAGCTCTAAAACTCTCTAATACAACCCAGAACAGAGCACTTTTTAGTAATGATATTTGTATATTGTTATTGTGATACATCATTCAGGTAACACCATGCATAAGACTTACTTGAAACTGCTTCAGTTTGCACTTTGTGCCAGAGTTCTGCACTGTTAAAAATTTAGTTGTGACTTTCATTGTTTCTGCATCATGCTTATGGACTGGATGTACACTACTTCAGTCCCTGATTTTGCTCCTGTAAATTGGAACGAGAATGCTTGGAATTCTGGGTGTTGTGGGGTTTTTGTTTTTTTGGGGTTTTTTTCCAACAGCAATGCCACAGAGCAATAAGAATGTGTCCTTCTGTGGTTGCTGGCAAGGTTCTGATCAGCAAATCCTGAACTCACTGTTTTCCATGGCTAAAAGACACAGTCTGCCCACAGGGTGACAAAATTAACCTTCTCCATCAAGGCTGCCAGAACAACTCCTGCCTTCCGGAGTTCACAGGAAAACCATCGAGAATGACATGACAGCCTGACGGACACTCGTGAGGGGCAGACAGGGCTCTGTGTCCGGACACAGGCCGGGCCCCGGCAGAGGGCACACGGCTGTCCCGGCTCCAGCCCACTCCGCACAGCCGAGTCCTGGCAGCGCCGCGCTGCGGGGCCCGTGGCCAGCTTTGCTGTGAGCTGCGGAGCCAGCGGACCTTATTGTCCCGCGGTTTTGCTGTCCTTTCCCCGTTCTCCGCCGTGTGAGGGAGGGACAGAGCCGCGGTCGCGGGCCGCGCTCCCCGCCGGGCCCCGCAAGCCGCCGGCTGAGGCCGAGCCGGCGGAAGTGTCTCGCCTTCCGCTTCCCCTCT